ATACTTTTTATTTACCCGGTATGGCTATAATCCTTCCATTCGGATAAGTAGGGCTGCAAGTGAATTTTAGCGAAATATTTTAAAGTGATGTTATCTGAAAAGTAGAGATTTCTTAGAAAAGGTTAATTACTAGTTTATTAAAATGGCTTTTCTAAGGCAAAATCAATTTATTTATTCTCTTTAGTTTAAAATGTCGATAGTACAAAGTCGAGAATAAAAATTTATCCCAACTTTGATTTTTTAAAGTTTTGCATATCAAAGCATATTTGTCATATATTGGAGCATATTTCTTAATATTCTGTGCATATTTTTGTGAAAATACGTGCATATATATGCGCATATTTTACGAATTTTTCATACATATWATCCGAACCTTAGTCATTACCGACCACACAAGAAGAATAACACTTTGATTAATGTTTCTGATTTGTGTACAAACCAAACCAATTGTGATACTCGTAACTAGATCTTTAGCCGATTTTCATTCCCAACATCCTCCCTCATAAATTCTTAACGACGTGGAGAAAGCCTGGCTTTCAAATGGTTAATTCCGTTATCTAATCGTACAACAACCCCGATTTGCGTGTTTACATTGTCTCTTTTCTAGCTGAAAGTGATATTTGCACTTTCGCTCTCCTCAAAAACCACTATGCTGCCAAATGCAACCCCGAGACGAATCTCTTCACTGCCGACACGCGTCCTCAAGCCCTGCAAAGTCTTTATGAGGCCGCCACCAAGACTCCAGTGCATCTCATGCGCCAGTTGGATAGATGGCGTCGCGACGGGCATCGTTCTTCACGGTTCTTCCTGTGTACGCCAGTATTGGGGAACAAGAGACGGAAGATCAGGAATAAAGTGGACATTGACATTGAGACTCGCATGGTAAGTGAGAGCTAACTACCGAGGGGTCTTCATGCATGTTGTTCTGCAATTAATCCARGAGTGGAATACCTGCTAGTTAAAGCTGCGATTTATGCGGCGAATCTGACCATAATCGTGAAAAATTGCACGAGTAATGTCGAGTCTACATGGGGTAACCAGGACTAATCATTTTTAATGTTTGTTTTCGTGTGCAAATTGCGATTTAACACGGGCGATTGTTATTGTAATTTGTAATTATCAGAGCAGGGAGGMGACAATTACAGATGCAACTTATTACAAAAGTAATTATTACTGCATCCAGTTACATAAAACTACGAAAACAGCCTTGAAACATAAATTTCATTGTAAAAATTGTTTTCTTTTTCTCATTTTTCGTTTTCTCAAGCTGTAATAAATTAAAAACTGTCATTATTTTTGAGATAAACATATTTATTTTTGCTAACTTTATTTTTTTATTTTATTTTTATTTTTGCTACCTTTGTCACATTTTAGGGCGTTTTGCAGCAAGATTTTGTGAAAGCAAAGCAGAAATTTTGCTAAATTAAATCAAACATGAATAATTTTGACTAATTTTCATGGATTTATGTTTTTTATTAAGAAAGTCACACAATTTGAAAGATTTTGTGAGAAAATTGCAAAATTAAGTCTTGAATGATGTCAAAATGACTTTTTACGTTAATTAAAATAAGAAATAATATTTCAGTCAGGAT